TCTTCTTCTTCTTCTTCTTCTTCTTCTTCTTCTTCTTCTTCTTCTTCCTACTCCTCTCCTTCTCCTTCTCCTTCCCCTTCCCCTTCCTCCTCCTGTTCCTCCTCTCCTCCTCCTCCTCCTCTCTTCCTCTTCCTTCTCCTTCTTCTTCTCAACAGAAACTTTGGTGGATCCAACTGAAGACCTGTTGTAAGCCCACTATCATGTTTTCAGCAGTGATGTAACTGAACACAGGTAATCCTCAACTTACAACAGTTCATTTAGTGACCATTCAATGTTACAACAGCACTGAAAGAGCAACCTGTGACCATTTCTCACACTTAGGACCATTGTGGCATCCCCCTGGCCACGTGATCAAAATTCTGAAGTTTAGCAACTGACTCATATTTATGACAGTTGTAGTGTCCCGGGGTCACGTGATCCCCTTTTGCGACCTTCTGACAAGCAATGTGAATGGGGAAGCCAGATTTGTTTAACAACCATGTTGCCAACTTAACAACTGCAGCGATTCCCTTAACAACTGGTCCTAAAAGGTCGTAAAATGGGGCAATACTCACTTAAGAAATGTCACTTTTAACAATGGAGATTCGGGGCTTAATTGTGCTTGTAAGTCAAGGATTACCTGTAAGAGAATAACAGGAGGGACCTTGGAGGTCCTCTAGTCCAACCCCCTGCTCAAGCAGGAGACCATATAATAATTCAAACAAGGATAAAAATAACATATATATATATATGGATCTTTGGTTATTCGGGTTTTCTCCCGCGTAAGATTCAAAGTATCTAGGCAACGTTTCGGCGAGGTCCCACTAGCCATCTTCAGGCTGGTGCTTTCGGCTTAGTGCCAGTGCAAGCAGTGTGTGACCGGAGCTGCCATCTCTCTATATATACAAGTGGTGGGGGATGGTGTGCTGGGCTGGTTGGCTGTGCTGCAGCCTCTTGATTGGTTGATGGAGTTGATGTTGGTATAATGGGCTGTGTAATGGCCTTTTGTTGTAGAGATATCCTGGATCTTGTGCTGTCATCTCCTGGGTCGTTAGCCTCTTGTGTTTTAACGGCTTGGGTAATGGGTTGTGTGATGGGCTTGTGAGTTCTTTTGTTGTGGTATCCTCGGTCTCGCCGAAATGTTGCCTAGATACTTTGAATCTTACGCGGGAGAAAACCCGAATAACCAAAGATCCACATACAAATACCCGCGAGAACCTCAGAAAACACACACACACACACACACACACACACACACACACACACACACACATATATATATATATATATATATATATATATATATATATATATATA